TGTATGTTTTTGTTTTCATTTTTTCTTATGCATGTGTGACTTGCTTGCCTAGCATCGCTCGCTTGTCATCATTGTACGTGGATGTTTCAAGTGCTTTTTGTTTTCCTTTTGTTGTCGCAACATTATCCTCACTTCTGTTCACGGCAAATACATTGAGTGGAGTCGTGGATTTAACTTTTTTCATACACTCTCCGTCGCTTGCTGAATCTCAAATTGCTGAATAATATCGGATGGGAAAAAAGCGAGACAAAACGGTGATATTTATGGAAGGAAAATAATCTCATAGACTGCACATCGGAACTACAATATCTAATGAAATAAAATTTAATATAGAATGCAACAACTTTTTGCTATCTTTTTGCGGTACATAACATGAACACGTCGTGGAAATGCTTATTGCTATCGTGGCTAGGAAATGAAAATAGTTTTGATTTTTTTTGTGGCTTTCTATGTCTGTAGCGATACGAATTTTGCATAAAATGGTCGTATAATATGTTTTGGAAAAATTCCTTCTATTATTTTGTTTAAACTATAGTTCGAGAAGTAATGTTAATACAGTTTGTGGACGAAGTATTAGAGATAATAATTCAAACTGTCCCAAACTGATTTTAACTGATAGAAAATGATTCAAACTAGACGACAGCGATCTAGACTGATTGAAAACGGCCTTAAATTGATAGAAAGAACCTTCACATATCGAAAAGAAGCAAAACTGATCGAAAATGATCAAAACTGGCCGAAAATGATCAAAACTGGCCGAAAATGATCAAAACTGGCTGAAAATTATTTGAACAAGCCGGAAATTATCGAAACTAGCCGAAAGGGATCTAAACTAGTTGAAAAAACTGCAACTTGCCGGAAATGATTCAAACTGTCCCAAATTGATTTTAACTGACCGAAAATGATTCAAACAAGTCGACAATGATCTAGAATAAACGAGAACGGCTTTAAATTGCTAGAAAGAACCTTCACATATCGAAAGGAAGCAAAACTGGCAAAAATTTCAAAACTGGCCGAAAATTATTTAAGATTTAAACTAGCCGAAAATGATTCAAACTGTCCCAAATTGATTTTAACTGACCGAAAATGATTCAAACAGGTCGACAATGATCTATATTAAACGAGAACGGCTTTAAATTGCTAGAAAGAACCTTCACATATCGAAAGGAAGCAAAACTGGCAAAAATTTCAAAACTGGCCGAAAATTATTTAAGATTTAAACTAGCCGAAAATGATTCAAACTGTCCTTAATTGATTTTAACTGACCGAAAATGATTTGAACTGGTCGACAATGATTTAGATTAAACGAGAACGGCTTTAAATTGCTAGAAAGAACCTTCACATATCGAAAGGAAGCAAAACTGGCAAAAATTTCAAAACTGGCCGAAAATTATTTAAGATTTAAACTAGCCGAAAATGATTCAAACTAGCCAAGAATGATCTAAACTAGATGAAAATAACCACAACTGGTCAAAAATCATCCAAACTTACCAAAAGTAAAACACCATTCTCTGAATATAAGGACAGACTACAAAGCTCCCAACAATTTGTCACCAAATTGTATATGAATTATAATTTTTGTGGAATAAAAGAGGTTGTAGAACAAAAAAAGGGAATTTTATAGCCATGCAATTTTACGAATATTATCTGTCATAAACTCACCTGCCATTTTATTGTGTATGTATGTCTATAGCATAAAAAAATGAATACTTAGAATATACGATGACATATCATGCATGCCTCTTTTAAAGGAATAAAGGAAAGAGTTTGAATTAATGCCAATCGAGCACATTCCAAAAGAGGGAAGAAAGTCATTTAAAGATTTAAAGGTGCAATAACGAATGAACAGTTGAAAAATCTCAAAAGAAAGAGTATAAAAAATGTATAGGCGAATTATTGATTGGACGTGATGTGAATTTTCATTTTCATATCCTTTTCCTTCTTACTTTATCTATGTTCAGAATAATTTCCTTTTATTACAGCAGAGCTGTTAGGGAAATGGAGCATTGTGCTTATAAATGGCAACTTTGAAATGCTTTCTTCTTCCTTGCTTGTTCCCAAAAAAGGCCAAAATAATTTTTATTTTCAAGTTGTCTGCTAACCAAATATAAAGGAAATGGGAAAATATGGAAAATATTACAACGACATAAGTCAATATTAAAATTCATGCGGTTTTCTGTTTTTGTTGTGGAACAAAAACTTCCTCTGGTGCCAATTTCAAATCTCTTAGGTAAATAAAGTATATTTTGAGTGTCCCTTGACCCTCAAGAAGATATCGAACGAGAAAAGGACAGATACACTTCAAGAATATCATGTCTACGCAAATAGAATTTTATTCCTTCAATGAGTGTCATTTACGTAAAAGACATTTGTGATCCATTAAATCCATTCACTCCTCTGCATTATTGAGTGAAAGCTAATAATGTTCACGATATTTTGAAAGGATTAAGGTGTTCACATTAAGTCTTGGGTGTATTTAGATGTTTTTTTTGTGTGTCGAGATAATGTTTATTCGGAAACGAGCTTTCCATTCTTTTGTAAGAGCTTTTTGTTGGTGTTGTGACAAAAGCACATAATCATAATAATTTAGATAAGAAGCAAACTTGAGGCATTAAAATGAATAGAACTATCATGTTAATATCAAGTTTATGTCCACACTCAATTTTGATGTGTCGTTAAAAGTTTTAGGAATGAATGTGTATTGTTGGTTGGATGGGCAGGTAAAATGTCAATTTTGAGGTTAGGTTGATAATGTTACAGGTTGTTCGCTTGAAGATGTAACAGAATCAGGGGTGGATGAGCACACTAGAGTAGGAATAAGGTATTGCTGATGATGTTGAATTCAGGACTATGTAGACGTGAAGAAGGAGAGGATTTTTATAAAACATTTTAGACACATTCTCTTGGATACTGCTTCATATAAAGTCCTACATACATGCTTAAAGAATCTATTTCAATAAAGTCAATATTGATACATTCACAGTTCATGCTGAACTTCCTGAAAGAAAATATCCTCCGAGATTATTGAACTTCTCTCTTTTCAATTATTACTGTGAGAATGAATCCTTCCATTTAGTCATCGATATACTGTCTGCAACAACGATTACATCCATTAAACTTTTTCATGTCGAATGAATATGAATCCATTAATACTTTTTTTTTAAAAAAAAAGAAATTGTACATGTAGATCCATTAATCTTTCATATTACAAACTGAGTCCATAAATACTTGAGTGCATTTAATCTATGAATCAAATAAATGTTTCCCAGCTGAAATAAAACAAACAGAAAAACTGCAATTAAAATTACAAGATATTTACAATCGTATCTCGATTTTTATCCTTCACATTTTGAAATTTTATTAAGTTTTTCGAGTTATTCACAGTTTTAGTTCCGCTATGCGAAATAAATTTTCAGTTTTTCTTGTGTATAAAAATTTTTTTTTTGTTCTTCCGTTTCACAATTTATTTCCATTAATTTTAATAAGAATACAAAAAGAAGAAAGACGAGAAATTAAAATGAATAGGAAAGTTTTGTTGAATCTTATCCCATGTGGAAATGCTTTGTCGACGGTGGAAGGGGTAACTTTATGCAAAATTGATTTCTTTGATAAATTCACTTAAGAATTTAAAGTGTGAAATGTTAAATTGTGCTTTTAATTAAGGAGAATAATATTTTTAATCAATGTAAGCAATTTGACATGAAATTTCAATGTTGTTCGACCCTAATGATTTTATTTTTATAGGTTTTACATCACCTGTTCTGCTAAACCCAATGTAAATCTTGTAATCTTATCTACATCACTTGCAAGATGCTTGATTCGTATTTATACACCTGCCTGTTATCATGAATATATTGTTATATAAATTATTTATCTACCTGATGTAAGTTTATTTGATCAACTGATGTGATTTTACCACTAATTCTATTACCTCACCTAAAACTTTCATCAAGTTTTATCGAAAGCTAAGCTTTTCCGTTTTCAATTTCTTCAAGTATAAGCATGCATTTATCAGGAAAATATTGAAAATTAAAAAATCCAAATTAATTTCTTGATTAATTATAAATTCAAACTTCTATTTTCGAAAATAAAATTTTCACTTTCTAAATTAAAATGTTCACTTTCGAAAATCAAATTTTCACTTTCGAAATTAAAATGTTCACTTTCGAAATTAAAATTTTCACTTTCGAAAATCAAATTTTCACTTTCGAAATTAAACATTTCACTTTCGAAAATAAAATTTTCACTTTCGAAAATAAAATTTTCACTTTCAAAAATAAAATTTTCACTTTCGAAATTAAAATTTTTACCTTCGAAAATAATATTTTCACTTTCGAAATTAAAATGTTCACTTTCGAAATTAAAATTTTCACTTTCGAAAATCAAATTTTCACTTTCGAAATTAAACATTTCACTTTCGAAAATAAAATTTTCACTTTCGAAAATAAAATTTTCACTTTCAAAAATAAAATTTTCACTTTCGAAATTAAAATTTTTACCTTCGAAAATAATATTTTCACTTTCGAAATTAAAATTTTCACTTTCGAAATTAAAATGTTCACTTTCGAAATTAAAATTTTCACTTTCGAAAATCAAATTTTCACTTTCGAAATTAAACATTTCACTTTTGAAATTAAAATTTTCACTTTCGAAAATAAAATGTTCACTTTCGAAATAAAAATACTCAGTTTCGAAAATAAAATTTTTAATTTTGAAAATAAAATTTTCCTTTTGGAAAATAAAACGTTATCTTTCGAATTAAATTTTCACTTTCGAAAATAAAATGTTCGCTTTCGAAAATAAAATGTTCACTTTCGAAATAAAAATACTCAGTTTTGAAAATAAAATTTTTAATTTTGAAAATAAAATTTTCCTTTTGGAAAATAAAACGTTAACTTTCGAATTAAATTTTCACTTTCGAAAATCAAATTTTCACTTTCGAAATTAAACATTTCACTTTTGAAATTAAAATTTTCACTTTCGAAAATAAAATGTTCACTTTCGAAATTAAAATTTTTACTTTCGAAAATTAAATTTTCACTTTCGAAAATAAAACTTTTACTTTCGACAATCAAGTTTTTACTTTCGAAAATAATTACTTCAGGCTATTACATCTTATAAATCGCATTTTACTCAAAAGTATTGAAAGCTTTCCACGAATCACTTCAAACTAACCCAATATCAATACTTAGTAAACTCTTCAAATTACCCCAAAACAATAATAATCCTCTTTCGACAAAACCTTTCCATTGGATAATATCAGTACAAATACTTCCTTCCCTACAAATCGAGAGTTTCTCATGTAGTTGAGTTTCTATTAAGACTATCACAATTATTCAATGGCTCATAAGCAACATATGGTCGTGTGAGAAGAACCTTATGTCGGAGCTTATGTATATTACTACTATTATTAGATTGTTCTTCTTGCTCTTGTCGTTTCTCCTTATGCTCTGCCTCATTCTCATTATTGTTGTTCTCATGTGTTGTCGTGAGCTTTGCGTCTTGTCAAATATCATCATCATTGTCTTCGTTGTCTATTGGATCGAGTGCTTCCTCATCCTCAAGTGTCGGTTGTGCTTTATGCAAACTCGTTGTATTGTTGTTATCTGTCGTAACATCATCTAATCCATCTGATAGTATGTCGTATCTGTTCAGCAATTGTACGAAAGGAGAAAAGTCATAAAAAAGTAGAAAGGAAAGAAACATTTCATTAACATTTCAACATTTCCGGTGCTTTGGAGTAAGGAAAGAAGTTTAGATGGAACGGCAAGAAGGAAGATAAATAAAAATATACATGCACGAAAAAATATTGTTTAAAAAGGAAGTAAGAAGGTAAATTTTAGGTAATAGAATGCTTCTGCATCTTTAATTTACTGAATTGCTAATGAAATATACGAAAGGAAGATGAAGTTTATTTTTAGGGAATGGAATGTTATTGTTGTTTTAGAGCTAGAGTTTTAAATTGAATTTTAAATAAGTTTTTTTTAACTACTTAAGAGTCATGTGTAGGAGTTATTTGGAGCTAATTATGGGGTCCTGCTGTAAATTTTAATAGCTGAATATTTATTTTTCTTGGAAGATTAAGAATTGAGAGCGTGAGATGAACTGTAGCTGTTCAAAGTTCACAGTTCAATGATCTTCCATTCGTTCATGGATTAAATTTATGTATGGCATCATGCCATATTTGTGAGTAACCCCTGATAGCTAATAGGTAGGAGTTCGTGATTGAAAATTAAGAGAGTGTAGGTTCGAATCCCTCTCAGGTCTATTTTTCAGAATCAGAACAACTTAAATGGCTCAAAAATGTAAAACACATTCTATGCCTATTCCAAGGGTAAAACATCTTAATAAGATCACAAAATTCAACAAAAATCCACTTACTTGTCGGAACTTTCATCAAATTCTGGTAACAGACTATCCTCTCTCCCTCGTATATTGGTTCTAAATACTGTAAACATTCTCAAAATTGCTAACATTATCAGTTGAACTCCACCGACATAACTTAACCAGAGATTATGAGGCCACATGATGAGTGCTACACCTAATGCTACGTAGGGAAATGAAAGGCGCCAGCTTCCAAATACTCCCGTCCACTTCCAACAATGTAAACATAATGAGTTTCTATCTTTGCTGTGAGGATTAAAAATAAATAAATAAAAGAGAAGAGGAAATGACACAAAAATAAAATAGTTAAAAACTTTTAAGGAACAGAAACAAAAAAAAATTGTTTAGTTGTAATATCTCATCTACTCATTCGCCCTTATTCAGTTTTTGAAAATGGAGATTTATTAGTCCACAGTGAATACACAACACAATTGAAATACATTTACAGGAATGAAAAAATGTCACGAATCCTTATGATATGTGTATATGCATGAATGTATCTGCGGAAACAATAAAGCATCCAATTTTCATTGTCAAATAGGTTGCTGTGTCGTTAGCATATTCCTCTACCATCGCATTGCGAGATTAAAATGAAAAAAAGCAAAGAGGAAATTATGTTGGAGAAATGGAGGGAAAAGCAGATGAAGGTAAGAGCCAAATTATAAAGTGTTGTTGGATGAGAAAATAAGTTTAATAAAAATTAGAGGAAAAGTTGCAAGGTAGCTTGGAATAAGGCGCACTTTAAAGGATAACAAGGATGCTTACTAAATTTGTATCTAGGAGGTATGTAAATACTCTTCTGTCATAATCGAATTGATCAAAATGACCAAACATGACCCAATTCATTGGGTAAGAGAAATAAGAGCCTAGGATGACTTAAAAGGATTAAATTAACTGTCCATGCTTCTCTACTACCTGCGACTCTCAACTTTAGTCACAGAAAAATTTAATTAATACCTTAGTGGGCCTTGGGTAGCCCTAGAAATTGGCTCCTGGACAACCTTAGGATACCTTTGATGAAGTCCTGCAACATCTGCATCAAATACATCCATTAAGACTTAAACATACAATAAGCATTGTATCAAAGACTTAAACGACGACTTTGATCATGTGATTCCCTTTCAAGTCCATAATTTCTTATAATTATCAACTTCAAGTTAACAAATACAAATCATATAAACAATAGAACCATATTCAAAAAGCATCAGGCTGACAAAAAGATAAGAATCTGCACAATTTTTCCTCCCCCATTATTACTTTGAAAAAAAAGAAGATTGTTTAAAATGGAGTGTGGATGAATAAAAAAATCTGCTGCTTTGCATATAGACACAAGGCGTAAAATGAAATGTAGTAAGTGTGTAGAATAAGAGGCGGAAATGGAGGCTCAACAAACAATAAAAAATAATTTACGATGAGCTTACCTCGTACAAATGAGCTGGAGGAAAAGCGTTATCACCCATTTGATTTCAAACAGGAATATAAGAGATGCTGATAATCTGCATGATATATTCACATAATTTAGAGACAGAGGATATAAAAAAATTTATTTATTTGAATTAAATGTGATTTTAATTTAATTTTCACGCCATGTTTTGTACGAAAATCGCATAAATAGTTCTTTTAAATTAATGCTTACAATAGATAAATACCAGCTTCATAGCCGTGCATCAGGATATCCATTCCGATTCCGCAAATCACTGAGAATGAAAGAGAAAAAAAAATGTAATAAACAATTAAGGTCTTTTTTTTGCTGTGCATGCAAACTATAATTTTCTTTCTTTACACTCGACTATGAATCGATTACGGGTACGGAGAGTGTGGAGAGAGACACACGATCATGATGAAAAAAATCGCATTACGTTTGTGGAATTATTTGCTCTTTTACTTAACATTTTGTACTACAAACACATCTTTGAGATTAACACAATTCACCTCTACAGTGATTTTATTATTACCATTGGAGATTCATAAATGCTTAATTTATTTCATTTATTCTTTCTTTATAGCTAAGATTCTGGATTGATTAGGTGGTTGAGTTTTAATTGTTTTATTGGCTTCATGACTGAATTAGGGGTGTTCTTAATGAAACTAGGTTTGCCTATTCAGATCAATTGTGATCCAGAGATGCGCTTGGGTGTTTCGCACCTAATGAGATCTTAACGAGTGAGAATGCGGCAAATCACTGCACTCAAACCTAGACCTACAGTTTATAATGGGATCCGAACCACTCCTCTGAGGACATTTCAGCCTGTAGCCTCCAAAAGAAGGCTGTGAGCCTCATTTTCGGTACGTATGATTCAAAAAGAGCAAGTGAAAAATTTCCCATACCCAGTCTCGAACCCATGATTGTTGTGACAGTATTGCAATAATTAGGTACCGAAGTACCAAACCATCCCAACACCGAGTCACTTCAGCTGACTAGGTTTAGGTTTAGACTTAGAGTTAAAAAGTATCCAGCTTGTCAAGAAGATCTCCACGAGTTTGTTTTAAGGAGATATTAGGTGAATATAGAGCAAACCCTCCTCAATCGTGTCGCTAGTCAAATTAGGTTACCATTTGTAATAGTTCAAGTCTTACTAGAATTGAGTCCAAAACTACCAGACCCTTACCAAACATTTTAAATCCGAAATTATCAAAACTATAAGAAAGAAACTAAGGTAGAACCAGTACTACCAAATTATTACTAGCCTTAATTCACATTTCAAACAAATTGAGACAAATTGTAGTATTTGAAAAAAATTATTCAACATTATCTAACGCTTTATGTCCAGCAAAACTTTTAAACACACATTACGTACTCGTTAATTTTTTTTACACTTTTTTTGCTGTTGCCGCTCTTTGTACTTTGTTTTTTCTTCTCATTTCATGTCTGTTTTGTTATTTCTGCTTTCGCGTTAATTATCCAAGCTTTGTCTTACTTCTTCTCCCCTGTGTGTTAAATCAATGTTAATGTCAATGCGTAATATTGCTTGTTATATTTAATTACTTTCGTCTTTAAAGCACATTCTTTAATTACTTTGATTTGAGTTTCTGGGAATTTTTTGTCTGGAGGGTCAGAAGATATAAAACAGGAAAGATTGGAGACAATGTCTTTATTGAAATAATTAATTTTTGGGCGTTGAAATTTTAAGAAAATAAGTGTCGTGCTACATCATATGCAGCAGTGGATCTTAAAACGAAAAATTGAGAAATTTATGAGCCAAACTGTTGAATAAAATAAATTTGAATTATTTTGAACATAATAGAAAAGTAAGGGGTCGTTCACTTATGACAAGTGGGTCACATTGTGACAAGGGAGGGGGGGGGGGGGATTTGTGACATTCAATTTTTTGTGAGAAAATTATATTTTTTTGTGCCTTTGACTGAACGTCACAAGAGGGGGAGGGGGGGGGGGGGGGGGTTTGGAGAGTATTGACATTTGGGCGTCTACATAGGGGGGTCTACAAATTATGTTTTTTGATGGACGTCATAAGTGAACAGCCCCTTATTACGCTGAATTGAATCCATTATTGAGCAATTTACGGCACATAATATAACATTTTTGATTTTAATTTATAATGTTACATAGTTTGTTGCTTATAATCTATTTTAATGCAATTAAAATTTGATTATTTTGGGAATTAAAATGTTGAATCGATAGAATTGATTTGTTCTATTGTGGATCATTGAAAAACACTTTTTTTTCGCTTGATAAGCTCAACTTAAATTCGTTTCATTCGATTTGGTCCGAAAATATTTTTAGGTCAATATAATACTTTATTGGCATAGTAATCTGGGGAGTTCCAAGAAGATAAAACGTTGGTTTTGCAAGTAGCAACAGCTTTTCACCCTCATCATATTTAAGGATAAATATTTAACATTTATTTATTGAATTTTTCTCGTATGTTCTCTCATATGCTAGCTAAGCTTTATTAATATTCCTGATATAGTTTTTTTCTGGAATAATTGAGTCTATGGGTTACTTTGGAAGTGATGTTTATCGTAAAATTGGATATTTAATTTCCTTGCCTTAGTTTAGTGCTGAATGCAAACTTCCAAAAGCTTTAAATTACCACTGAAGATGCGAACAAGTTTCCTAAGTCTTTTCTTTTAAATGAGCTAAGGGGTCGTTCACTTATGACGTCAGAAATTAACGATCATTTTTTAAAAAGGAACAATGGATTTTCAGGCATTTCTATTGTTCTTTTATTGCTGACCCCCCCCCCCCCCCCTGGACGTCATAAGTAAATGGCCCCTAAGCAACTACCCCCTTTCCAATACCATTGCTTCCCAAAAACCCCGACAAAAAAAAAAGATCCAGCATAGCTTTCCCAATCACGTTTAAATGTGAGTCAAATTTAAAGCTTTATGTAAATTAAACCGTGCACAATGCTTGTGCAATCGTAATCCCCAGCATGTGAAATGATTCAATCAAAATTAATAATTTCATTTAATTGAGATCTGGAAAACGTGCTTTCATGTATATCGGATATTTTATAGGCTTAATGCCATTAAAAATGCAAAAAAAGCTTTTCCTGATTGATCTTAATTTGTACTGAAAATTAAAAATTTGTTAATCGATTAAGTTTGCAGATAACAATCAATTAAGTAAGTTTACATGCTCATAAACCTTCAGTTTATTTCCCGTACTAAATTTCAAATATCATCATTAAATTGAGCGGAACTTGATTTTTATTTGTACAACAATCATTTAGAAATTACACTTAAGCGTTAATGTGATTTGAGAGAAAAAAGTTAATTTACTAAGGGCGAGCAGTTCAATGCAAACGAGCGCCATGGCAATCATTATTTAATTACCTAGAAAAAGAACAAACATGGAATGACATTCAATTGCTTAGAAATGAATATTAAAATGCAGCGAATAATAAATTGATGTGAATTGTGAAGTCCATGTAGTGAATATTTGCATTTGAAAGCTGAGATTGATTAATATTAGTTTGGAAGGGATGGGATATTGAATAATTGACTGGTACTTAGAAGAAATTGACTTTACAGTTTTTATAATAACCGTTAAAAGTTTAAATTTTGAAAAAATGTCAAAATTCAAAATTTGAAAAACCGTTAAAATTCAAAATTTAAAAAACCGTTAAAATTTAATTATCTAATAAACTCGATCAGTATGTAGCAATTTGAGCTATAAATCATCATTTTATCAACAGAATTACTCACCAATAGCAGTTGCGATTCCCCATATTCTAATCAATGGCTTCAAGCATTTGAATGGCGATTCCTGTCGCCTTCTGTTTTTGACTTCCATATTTGTGGATACAATACTGAATATTCCATAAAATCACATACATGCACACACACTGAAATATCCTCAATTTATAGATCCGACATTGACAAAATCAATGCATTTTTCAAACAACAAAAACTTTCACAGTTTCATCAGCAATTCATTTCGTTTGAACGCGACCATATACTCGTGAATATTTATTCTGCACATTCATTCAAATTTGTCTATTTTCAATTCACTGATTCTGTTTAGAACTTTATGTACATTTTTTTAGGACAGTAACACACAAAAAAAAACAATTTAATCTTCTTTTTTTTTACTTCATCGCACTGAATATTTCATAAAACATTTGTTTTCATTCACTGGATGCAGCTAGCTAGCTAGCCTAGCTTACGAAAGTCCAAACACAAAAAAAATGTATTTTAATAACAGTTTTCACTTCGTTTTGCGTGATGCTGTAATGATTTGATGAAATTTTTAATACTCTATTGCCGGGTTGGATAACAACGGCAGCTGTAGCTGAAATAACAAAAAAAAAAAAGATTTTTGTTGAAAAATTACTTTTTAGTCGTCATAAAATTGTTTTTATAGCTGTTATGAACTAACATCATTTTCATCTTCCTCAAGGTCACTATTAACGTAGTTTTAAGAAACTTATTTTCTTTTCTTTGTCGTGGTGTTCTTATTGAACTTTATGAACTTATCGGGAGTTTACGTTGGCGACAAAAGAAGATTTTTATGGGATTTATAAGTAGGATGACTATCTGTTAGGTTTCTTAAGATACGATCCAGAGGAGTAAACTGTAAAAATCGATTTTTATCGAGATCAAGAATGTCGAAAGCATTTGAAAGCTACTGGAAAGTAGGATCAAGATTCTTATCATATGTTTTAACCTAATAGTGTAGGAAGGTGCAATGCATTCCTAGTCTAGCATCCTTAGTCAAAATATCCCTGATTTCCTACACTTTTAAGAGCTTCGCTCTAGTGATACATACTCAAAAGAAAACCAATAAAATCAACTTGCCATCCTCCATAAATGTTCGTTATTTTGATACTCAATTAAGTATTCAAATATCAGCGAATACTAAAAAATAAATGTTATTCAACTTCTTCAATACAAAGTTGTATTAAATGACGGCATTTTAAACATTGTTGAGGAAACTAAACGTTACTATTGACACGTAAAGTCGTAAGTGTGACAATCATCATGACTCAATAATTTTTTAAAAAATCTTAATTTGACTTTGATGCCAATTTTGATTGAAATTTCCCTCTTACAGAGATGCGTCAATATTTAAAGCACTTGTTGATCAAAAAGTGGGACATGCCTAGACCCAATGCTAGCAAACAGAAATTTTTGAGTTCTTATTATTCGAATTTCGAATTTTTGAGGTTCTTATTTTTCGAAAATCGAATCTTCGAAGTTCTTATTTTTAAAAAAAATCGTTGTGAATTATTATTTTTCGAGTAATTTGTAATTTTAGTGAACATTCCTACTAGTTTTTATGATTAAGATAATCACTGTGATGAAATTGCATTCCTTAAATGTTTATGCTTTAAAAAACAGCTAGTTTAAAAAAAATAAAAAGTAACGGACTTTCTTATTTTGAAATTTTAAAAAAATACCGCTCGAAAATTTTGAATTTTTTTGTTTGTAACGGACTCTGTTCTCTTTGCTAACATTGGGTCTGGACTTGACAACGTTTTTAATCTTCAAAAGGCTGACTTGATAGGAAGCAGGATTTCATCTAAGGAACAGCAACCTAGTCTTGTTGTGCATGCTCTCAGTAAACACAATAGCAAACTCTTTTCATCAAGAATAAGTCAAAATGCTTCATTAATCTTTCTTATCCTAGAAATCACTAGTTTCTATTATTATAAAAAAATGTTTACTCCCTTTGGAAGCCCTAGAATCTACAGCAATTAGCTACATAAAAAAAGATATTCAGTTCAATCGAGCTAATCATTAACAATCCACCCTAATTGAGTAGAAAAAAATTTCTCCATAAATTATAATTTAAAGCTAATAACATTCTTGCTGCTCAACAAGTCGTCAGAGGCTAATTATACACAGTTAAAGCTGAAGAGAACTTTGAACTTTCTTCATTCTAGACTTCACGCCAAAGCGCTATTTAATTATCATTTGAATTTTTTTTAAGTATCGTCATTAAGCGAGACTTTTGTCTAAAATTACATTCTTGCTTTTTTTTCGTCATTCGACTCACAGATGATTAAGGTAGAGAATTTAACCAAGATAAAATGTGGATTTTTAAAGGTTTTAAACCTGTGTTGCGATACAGGAACCAGTGCACAGGTGAGAACGCTACAATTCCTTGATAATTTATAAGGTTTTTCTAACAAAACCATACAAATTCTAGTAAAACCTCACAAATTATCAAGCAATTATACGGTTCTCACCTGTATCGCCTGTATTGCAACCCTACTTTTAAGGACTAAAAATAAAAATCTTGAATTTGCAAATTATTCAGCTACAAAAATTGATATGAAGCTCAACACATCCACACAATTTCAATCTCCATGGGACACTTGTCGCTGAAATTGTGTTTATTGACGTATTTTAAAGCAATTCTATTTTAAGAGATTCTCATGATTGTCGCTGTGTGAATGCGGTAAAGTCCATTTTCTGCTATGTATGACGACAGCGTAAATGCTCTCGAAGGATGAATTAAATGCTTTTTTCGTGAAAAGAGTTGTGGATATTGTTTTGTAGTGTCTGGTGGATTGTTGTGAGTTTCAAATGAGAAAAATGGCTTTAAAATAAGGATTTAAGGATTTGTAAATTCAGCAAAAGCAGAATGAAAGCTTCAAGTCCCCAACTGCCTCAGTTTCATCAACTTCAATCAATATAAAGTCACAAATATCCATATTCATTGCTCAAACCTCGATAAAATCAATGTTTGTCAATCTCGGGTTCTTTTATCGCAAGCAAAAGTGTCATTGATTGATACTCAAACACCTTTGATGCCATTTCCTCATATAAATAATTCATGACCAATCAATGCTGCAATGCCAAACCCTTTTTGAATGTCTCTTAAGTTTGAGACCCATTTACAATTCTTGTTCTCATCTCAAGAAGCAAATCTAAAGTTCATTATTTTCTTTTAGCTTTTTATCACACACAAAAAGCCACTTCCGAAATCTTCTAAATGGCTTAACTTTCATCCTCTCTTTCATCTACAATAATATTAAAATATTCATTGAGTCAATTATTAAGAAAAATTATCAGCAGGGATTATCTTCTTTTCTAACTTAATTTGTCTTTATTTCCTTTGCCATTTCTTCTCCTTTCACATTATATAATGAGAAGGAACAGTAATTTTGAACTACATAGAAAAAGCTATGCCAGATTAGCAGGGAGATAAAAAGCTAGAACAGACACTGGCTACACTTTGCAGTCTAAGCCGCATTTTGATTAAAATATAAACGGTTAACAATAAAATTTGAAAACTTTAAAGGTCGAAAAATATTTTTAAAATATCGGTCGAAAAATAATCAAAAAAATAACGGTCGAAAAATATTCAAAAAATAACGGTCAAGAAATATTTAAAAACAATCAATTGATTTAACAAAAAGGGGGTTTAAACTACAAAAACCAAGTGACAGACAGTCAAACAGATAACATCGAGACCACAGAATCTGATCCCGCTAGAAAAATGCCCTAAAACTTGAGGAGAAGTAGATTTGGCAGAAATAAAATTTAATTAAAGAGAAAATGAAAATCTCTGTGCTTCACTTTGTGTGGCATTTTTATTTACTGGTCTATCTATCTCTCTGCCTTATTTTTTTTTTTTTTTTGTTGAAATGCCAGAGCTTTTACTGTTTTCATTTCTCGTCTGTTCATGTGCTGATGATTATTCTATTAAGGTGCACGAGTTTAAGGAAAGACACAAAGCAAATTCCTTTTGTCGACGACTGAGACACATAATTTATTGACATAATTCAGTTTCCAACCTCATAAATTATTTTTCATCCGTGCTCAGACACAAAAAAAAAAGGTTGAGATGAGCAACATAAAGATAGATTAAATCACGGCAAAGTAGAGCTTCCTCGTTGATTAAATACTTCTCATTTAATTACCTCCTTAAGTTTTAATTAACTCGAATCTTGTGCATTCACGTCCCTTTTCATGTAATTCTTAGGAATTACTAATCATTTTCATGAATCTACGATGTTGGAGATTTATCATGTCCTCAACATTGTCAGCTGCGTCTAGTAAAAGTCATTTTTCATTTCGTACTTTGTTGCTGTGCTTTTTGTCAATGTCTCTGTATGATTTTTATGCTGCTTAAAAGAATGTCTTGCAATGTCAGATGAGATGGAGAGGACTTGATGAGATTTTGGATGATTTTTGAGGTTAGAGCGCATCTTTTGGTTACTTTGAGGTTATGTTCTTAAGGTTTTAATTAGAACTAATGAGATGAGATGATTAAGTGTTGGAGTGTCCTCTAAAACTTTTAATGGTTCGAGCTAGCATAGTGTAAGACGCTGAGTATGTATATTAAAGCTATTGACTAGTTTAATCCATCACTAAGGGGTACATAACTCGTATATTCGATTCAAAGGACATAGCCTGACAGTTTTTGAAGATGGAGGGAACTACCCATCCTCATAGAAATGCCTCTGATCCAAAAATAAAAGGAGAATGTCTTTTAATTGACGTCATACGTGAACAATCCATTAAGACCCCACCAAAATCAGTCATAAAGTCAATAAAATCTCGAGAATAAGCAAATTGTCTTCAAGAACATAAAGCACAAAATAAAATAAAATTCAAATACTTTCGTCATCCTCAAAAAACCCACAGATAGTCATAAAACATAAAGATATCAAGAATAAAAGCTAATAGAAGGTCAGTGCGATCATAACAGCTGCCATAGTTTCATGTTATGACAAAAATGTGCCATTTAGAAATAAAGTGGTTCCAACTTTTTCACGACATCCAACGTCAGTATTAAAGATTTCGTTATGGATATGCTTCCATATGGACGAATTTGCTTATTGAATATTAATGTCGCACATTTTATGAGTTTTACAACATTGTGTGCAGCACGGATGCAGTTGAATTCATCACTTTTAATTTGTTTGAGTCATAAGTCTTCATTTGCCACTTCCATTCAAGATTAAAGCTACTCTCGAATAAATTTTTTACGATGCTCAATTGGATCTTGATTAAATTTTAATGCTCTCTCGATTACAGCTACTTATGTGCTCTGAATTTTGTTACCAGCGAGCAAGAACACCCCATAAGTCCTCCCCCATAGTCTTTGACATTACCATAGTTTTTATTCATGTTGATGACAAGATGTGAACATTTTTCGGATGGAAAATTATTTTTCTCGTCATGGCTTTTTATGTAAATTTATCTGAAACGACAGCATTGTCATGTTTAATTACTTTTTTATTAATGCAGCGATGGAAAGGAAAAAAAAATTTTTTAATGGAACTATGAAATATTTTTTTTTGTTACGAGAAGAATGCAGCATAGCTTCCAATGGCTTTAAAATAATTTGTGAGAATTTAATTTAATTTTACATTCAAATCCAGTTGACAATAAATGGCTCAAGCATTTAAGGGGAATCAACATATTCATTTGAGGATTTGAGGGATTTTTAAGGAAAAAGGAATGAGAAAGGATTAAGTTTAATGGAAAGGGGATTGAGGAATTTCGGAGAGCTTTTTTTGGTCACAAATTGTACTAATCTCTTAGATTAATATACTTCAGTTTCATTCCTTTAAATTTAGAAATTCTAGTTGAGGGTCATTCACTCGTTACGTCCATTTAAGGCTAAATTCATTTTTGTCTAGTTTTAAGAGTGAGTTGATCCATCTTAGTGGCTTAATGGTTTAATTTTTGGGTTCCTAATCTTCATGAACCGACAAAGCGATCATGGGTTCTAATCTCGATTTCTATTTTCAAGACATCATTTACTTTAGAACATCAAAAGTTTCCATCCCCTGAAAAAAAAAATCTACTTTTTTCCTTTACTATAATTCGATGAGTTTTCTCTCGAATGACTGAGAATGACTTATCGGAGAACCCTTATTGTGTCACACAAGTCAAGCGAGCAATGGTTTTTCCTCATGCTTAATTTCTCTTTCGCAAACTTTTCAATCCAAACAAGATGAGAAGAAAATATCACGAAAATGGTAAGCAAACTGTTATCGCTGTTGACAAATCAACCAAAAAAAGGGATACTAAGAAGAAATGAAATCTCAAATAAATTTGAAAAGTTTATCAGAAGAATGGGTTGGCTGAATGGGAGGTGATTTTTTTTGGTAAAACTACAATTTTTGTGCTCAATTGAATGTTTAACTTTGGCAAAAAGCTCGAAGATTAAATTAACTTCACCATTTGGATTTTCCTTTATCCTTACTTATTGTTCTCTGTTCCAATTTTTGTTGGTTATGGCATGTTTTTCCGCAAAAGGCTGAAGGCAAATGTATACAAAAGATTTATGTAGAGAGTATTCACAGCTACTGCAACTAACGATTTTACTCCTTTTAGTCTACATACAAGGAAGTTTAGTTTAGAATAAGAATAAATGGATGAAACAAGAAGGAAGCAAGTAAAAGTTTTCAGTCTTGTCGAAAGAAGTGAAAATGTATTTCAACTTTATAAGAGAGGAAGTAGGATGATCATGGGAATTTAAAGGTGGGGCAAGCCTTGTTGAGGTTACTTGGTTGAGAAGGTGCAATATGCTTTTGTTTAGAATGTAAATACAGGATCATTCAAAAATGACGTCAAAGAGGAAGAGAGACTAAGACAGTGCGATAATCAAAAGCAATTAGAACCCCTTAAGTGGGTCCAAAATTTATTAAAGACAAAATTCAATCTAAAGAATGGTTTTGGACCTCTACATGGCTATGTTTAAATTACTGCATTCCAGGGGCGTAGCCAGGAGGGGTCCTTAGGTGCCAAAAAATTTTGGGGACCCCCCTCGAAAAATCCTAGCTACGCCCCAGCTGCAATCCCTTGAAGCTCGCTAGATTTTGAATCGTGTCTAGACTAAAAGCGAATTCTAGGTCGCACATACTATTGGCACACTAGACATCCTTTCGACACCTCAAGCTCTTAATATTTAAATTCAAATTCTAGCATTAAAAACTTTCCTTGGCACACAGCCTGAAGCTTCAATTACATCAGTCAAAGGTACATTTCTCCTCTCTTCTTCCTTTCAAAAAATGCATAAGAAGTACGTTCACATCCCCCAAGCAAAAAAGAACATCAGTCCTCATTTTCACGCGATAAAGAAGATATAAAAAAATTTGCATTGGCGCCAACAACTTTTTGGAAACGAGAAGAACAATTCATTTTTCTGACGCTAGTTTTTACTTTTCTTGCTCTTTTAACATTTTAAAAAATAGAATTTTATCCCTCAACTATTTAAGCTTCTCTCATGCATATGGTTTATGTGGATGAAGTAGCTTGAATGAGGAAAAAGTTTAGCTGTTGAAAAAAATTAAAATTGATGATGATGTCAGATAGTTACAAATTACAACATCAGCTACAGAAATAAAAATTGAAATTTATCGTATCTTTTGGACTGCTATGTTAGAGGTTTCATCCACAACGAGACTATATGGTCGGTATGAGTGATGGCTAATTTTAGATTTCTTTGATCTTTTGGTTCTCATGAATTATGGATGATGTTTATTTAGGGACTGATATCGTGGTTATCAACAGGGGCCGTTCACTTATTACGTTTCGCAAAAAACGACTTTTTTCACCCTTCCTCCCCCCTTGTTACAATATGTTACAATTTTTCAAACCCCCCCTCCCCCCTAAAATGCGAACGTAATAAGTGAACGGCCCCACAGCTGAATTGTAATTTTTAACAGTTCAATGAACTACTTTGTGGATGAACTGACAATTAAACAATGAAAACTGGATCATGAAGTTCTGCTTCAACACATGCACTTAGTGATGTAAAGGAATTAATTTATACATGAAACTTATTGTACGAAGAGGAGTAGTAAAAAGTTTCTGTGAACCAATGCTAATGGCAGCAACTCCTTCAACGAGAGATGCTCGAAGAAATGACAAAATAATTAAAAGAAATTCAATTCAATTAATTTCAAAATAAATTCATTAAGTACATCAGTTGATTATCATTTCACATGATAAGTAGCTAAAAGGCACGTAGCCAGGGGGGAGGGGGGATTTAGGGGACAAATCCCCCAACGCAAACAGAACTTTCTTTATTTTACTAGGGTTTTTATGAAAATATCACAAAAATTACCCCCCCCCCCCCCAAAATTTTTCCATACAAAATTTTTTTTTGTCTCCCCCCCCCTCTTTAAATTTCTGGCTACGCCCCTGGTAGCTAAAGTACTTTGTGTGACCTGATCATCCTTCCTTTAGCTAACATGTTCTTTAATAGAATTTACTTCAATTTGTCAATGTGGATCTGACTCCTTAAAATGACACAATGCTTCATTTGGCACAAATCAGTTGACTAAGAATTGCTACAACGCTAGGACATGACATGAGCAGGGTTTACCCCAGCTAGACACATTTTATTTAATTTAACCAAATGAACTTCAAAATAAATTCAAAATTAAATGTTAATCCCCATAAAGTCAAATCACTTCAAATAAAGTAAATACATTAAAATGTACACAAAAAATTAAAAGAAACACAAAAAAGTTTATTTTCAGACATTTCAGAAACAAATTCCAAAATTTAATCCAAACAAAAAAAAAACTTTGAATTTTGTCATTTTAATAAACAAAAGCGGCAAGTCCATGTTGAGGAAGATTATGATGTCAGCTCAATTTTTTTTGAGGGCATTTATTCAGGTTTGATGCTTATAAAAAAAATATTACTTATTATTGTATTCCTTTGTAAGATTTAGTTGAGCATTCACAATTTTATTTTTCACTCAATTTGAACAGTTTTAAGGTTCAACTCCTTTAATTCTTTTAATCACTGATTTTTTATTCCACATAAATAAGTTTTGTACGAAACTTTTGAAATAATTTTTTTTGTCAATTAAATCCACAAATTTTAATGATTTTTTATCTACACACGTCTTTAGATATGCGAACCGTACGATAGACAATACCTTACTGACATTCAATATTTTTGTTCATTCACATGCTTCACTCGCATGTTTTCTTTTCTGTTGAGCTTTTTTTTGGCTCTCTGAGTGTGCTGCTCGCTCTCTGGAAAGCTTTCAAGTTACTCTCCTGAATATGAGAATTGAAAGCATTTGGTGTTGTGAATTCAAATAAAGGCATTTGCAGGTAGAGCTTGAATTTAAAAAAAAATCTCTTACCCAAAGCACTAACTTCAAAAAAAGTGTTTCCAAAAACAGCTGAAATCAGAATTTTGTAAAATTTATGAAAATGGAGTGGGAAACAAAGAAAACTTAATAATTTTTGGATTTGGTCTAAACCTTCGGTTCCAAAAACGCTTTTAATTCTATGGCCAATACACTTACACATCATTTCTAATAAGCTTCAATGCTCCTCTTCCTCCCTAGGGTTTCTGAAAAACGGCATTTTTAAAAAACGGCCGTTTCCGTTTTTTTCCAAAAAACGGCCGTTAACGGGTCCGTTTTTTTAATTCTACCGAAATTATGTTTTATGCACGGTTTTAGTCACATACTGAAATTGTTCAAAATACTTTAAAAAAAACTTTTTTTAAAAAATCACGCTTTTATTTCCTATTACAGAGCACTAAAAAGGAGAAAATAATTTTTTTTGCTAAGCTCTCAAATTTGATACAAAATTTTATGACTCAAAATAAAAGCGTGGGGCGTTAAATATAAACTAGCTCTAGATTTTCCAAAATTTATTTTAAATCAGTTTAATTATCCATTTCTTAATTCAACTTTTGTATTAAAACGAAAGACCTTTTAAAGATTTGATCTCAAATTATTTTTTGACACAAAGGAACTAGTTAGATTTAGCAGGAGAGTAAGACTTGATTTCTAGTGCCACACAGAAAACTCTACATTAATCTCATAAAGATCAAGTCTACCGTCTCAGATTTACCATAATTTGTATGGGCTCATCATTCTCCTTAGACAAACCTATAAACATTGAAGACCTAACGCTTATGTAAACTTACAAATTCAAGATTTAGTGATTTTTATAACAGCGCCCCACGCTTTTATTTTGAGTCATAAAATTTTGTATCAAATTTGAGAGCTTAGCAAAAAAAATTATTTTCTCCTTTTTAGTGCTCTGTAATAGGAAATAAAAGCGTGATTTTTTAAAAAAAGTTTTTTTTAAAGTATTTTATTTTCTACTTTTTAGTCTTTAAAATCTCCAAATCGATTCAACTTTCAAAATTTTAAACTTCATTTAGTTTCACTACGTTTCGTTCAACTATTTATTGATTACCAGTTTTTAATGGGTAATTAGTAAAGACTATCAAAATTTTTCATTCGTTTTACATAATTCAATTCAAACTTGGAAACACATTAAACGCTTAAAAGTGTTCTAAACATCAATTAGTAAAGTACATTAAAAATCAATCATAAAGATTTGGTGTTTATTCGTACCATTTCTACTTAATACTAAAGTATTTATAACGGATTTTTCAAATTTAATTTTAATGAAGGTCATTTATATGTTATGCAAAACTACGTCAAGCCGTTGATAAAAAGAAATTGAATTTAATTAAATGTTAGTGAATTGTTAAGAATCAATCAAATCATTAAAAGCATATATATTATGCTCAAACGATGTGTGCTAAATGCATATTTGCATATCAATAGTTATTTTGTATTAAAAACGTAACTGACTTGCGCTTAACGGTTTTTTTAAAATTCAAATTTTCACTTACGAATATCCATGAAAAAATTACTGGTCAATTTTTTTTACTGGTCTTACCAGAATATCTTTAGCTGTTCAAATTTATAGTATAATTAATAATTGATAATATTAATTAAACTATAATGAATCATGTAAATGACTTTTGAACATTTCAAGTATAATATTTTAAACAAATCAAAATTAGGTATACGTCATTGACATTGGATTTTTTCCCATATAAAAAAAGTTTTACTTAAACTGTACTATAATTAAGCATTTTTGTGGTTCCAAAGTGTTGAAATATTGTATTGTCACCGAGAATAAGTGTGCATAAAAAATTTGAGCTCGATTGGAGCAGTAGAAGTGATCGAAATAACGATTACAAGATTTGACGCTCCATAACAGAGTGAGTTAAATAAAAGCGTGTAATAAAAAGAACTTGTTACAGTGTATTGTGTCTAAAAAACTTTTATTCACACCCTGTTTTCTCGTTATAAGCTACTACTCGTTACTAAGCTACTAGCTTAGTAAAGTTTTTTTGAATTTGAAAATTTTTTGTAATCTTTACTAAGCTACTACCAAAAATAAAGTTTAATTAATCTTTTTCAACTTTCTAAGTATCAGTTTCAATGCCTAATGACATTGTCAATGAAATAAAATCGAGACGATAACGAAGATAGCAAAATTTCTATAATTAAGCTAAAAAATTAAACAAATTTCATGTAAGTTCAATTTCTTTACTAAGCTCCTAGTGAGCCAAAAAAATTACTTTTTTATTCTTCTAAGCTACTAGCTTATAACAAAAAAAATTACAGAAGTCCTCGTGTTATTGATCGAGGGACTTAAGCGCATTTTTGTGTTAGCGATCAGTATATGATTATCTATTTATTTTGCGTTCATTTACAGATCATTAGAAGATCATCAATTAGCAAATATTTATAATGAATGCTTATATATAAAGGCTTTATTATTTAACGGTAAATAAACAATTTGAAATTTTCCCGCTAAAAGTTGCACTACGAAAACATTACTTATTATTTGAGATTCAAATTTTCTAACGGTCAGTAAGTTTCTGAAAGCTTCCCGCCAAAAGATACACAAAAAATCATTAATTATAGTAAATTTAACAATTTAATATCTTTCATTCTCATATATAAATTGTTTATCATTCAACGATTTTTTGAGATTCAAATTTTGTAACGGTCAGAAAGTTTTTGAAAGCTCCCGCTAAAAGATATACAAAAAATCATTAATTAAAGTATATTTATCAATTTAATATCTTTCATTCTCATATATAAATTGTTTATCATTTAACGATTTTTTGAGATTCAAATTTTGTAACGGTCAGAAAGTTTTTGAAAGCTCCCGCTAAAAGATATACAAAAAATCATTAATTAAAGTATATTTATCAATTTAATATCTTTCATTCTCCTATATAAATTGTTTATCATTTAACGGTTTTCTGAAGTTCAAATTTTGTAAAGGTCGTATGCATTTGAAAGTATGTTGCCAAAAATTGCAGTAAAAGCATTAATTATAGTATAAATAACAGTCTGTTGCAAAAAAAAATTTCATATAAAAAGGCTTGGTAATTTAACGGTTTTTTGAAATTCAAATTATTAGTCTGACAGTGTAGAAGTTCCCATCAAATGTTCGGATAGTGTAGAAGTTCGAAGTGTAGAATTCTAATTTTTTTAGAAAATTCATTAATTATAGCATAAAAACACTGTTTTAAGATTTTTAAATGTCCGGCAGGCCAATAACTCGATATAACGGAACTAATGCAAAAAACTAGAACTCTCTACGATGTCTAGATTAAAAGTTTTTCTTAGCGGCCGACCAGCCGACCAGCCGAACATAGTGCATGATTAAGCTACCTTTTTGTATACAAGTATACAAAAATGCGCTAAAAAACAGGATACTTCAAACTTTAAAAATATTTAAACATCAAGTGGTCGTTACAAAACTTAACAACTTAAATTTAATGAGTATGAAAGAATTATTGGAGTTAATATTACTTTATTCCGAACCTTAAATTTTCACGAGCTGAAAACGAAAAACGGAAAAAACGGCTAGAAAAAAACAGCCGTTTTCCGTTTTTATTTTTCTCTGAAAAACGGCTGTTTTTCCGTTTCCGTTAACGGCTTCAGAAACCCTATTCCTCCCATCAAATAACCCATTCTTACTTTAAATAAATCAAGAATATATTCCCGATAAGCATCTCATAAAGCCTGAATAATGTCAGGAAAATCTATCTAAAATTAATCAAAATCGACAGATGTGATAATTTTGATGACACAGAACAAAAAACAAAATAATTTCCTCAACTTCAATTTTCGAACCCTTCTTTTTTGTTGGATGTTAACAAGCAACAGCAGTGATTAAATACTTTATGTCATGGGTCATTTAACATTTTTACTTTCAATATGAATGAGAAGATTGAATGAGATTTGTTTGAAATTTTTGTGGAGAGAGGAGGAAGGGGATTAAGACAGGAAGCTTTTTGGGGAAGTAAAAAAAGAACTTGAAGTTTTGGTGGTTTTGGCGCAGTTTACAAAAAATTACAGAAGTCTTCGTGTTATTGATCGAGGGACTTAAGCGCATTTTTGTGTTAGCGATCAGTATTTGCTTATCTTTCTTATTATTAATTTGTTGCAATGAATTTTCATAGCGAAAAGGTTTATCATTTAACGGTATTTTGAAATTCAAATTTTACAACGGCTGGAAAAAATTTGAAATTATACAGGTAATGTTGAAATTATAGAGGTAAAATAAAATTTGGGCAGGTTACACTGAAAACAAAACACAAATTCATTAATTATAGCATAAATACACTGTTTCAAGACTTTTAAGCATTTGATGGGCCGATAAATCGATAGTAACAGAGATAATAAAACAAACGCGAGCTCTCTACGATGTCTGGTTAAAAAGTTTTTCTTCATAGCCGAACGAACAAAGTGCTTGAATAAGCTACCTTTTCGAAACTAGTTTTAACAATGCGGTAAAAAGGTTCAGAACCATAATATGATATATTTACTTATATTGGTATTCAGAGACGGAGCCAACTATGTGAGGGGGGGGAGGGGGGTGGGTCACAATTTTTTTGATTGGGGTTGATTTTTAGGATTTTTTCATTGAAACTCCTTAATGACTATTTGGCAAGCTAGTCCGAGTTCAAGGACATCAATAATTAATTTTAAAAAACTCTCAGACAAAATGCTCAACTTACCATCCTCACTTCCAGCATTGCCTCCTTAAAAATTAAGGTTTAAATTAGAACAAAAAAAGGGGATAAAAAAATTTTCTAAAAAAAGGACAACAGATAGAAAGTAAGGAACCTTCTAACCCTTTTTTATCTCATCTCATTCTCTCACCTGCTTAATGGTGATTAAATGTGAAATTTTTTCCATAACATCAAGCCTTTAGGAAGAATTGAATTAATGGACCAATAAATTGAATTGAATTTTTTTCTTCACATTTTTAATTCAAATTTTTTCTTTTTTTTCTTGTTATGGTTAAGGAATAAAAATTTCTTACTTCTTCTTAATCTATGTAATGTTTTTCATCTACAAATTAATTAGGAGATGACCTTAATAAGTTTAAGGTTGAATAAAGTCTTTGAACTAACGGTGAGGAAAAGGTAAAGAGGAGCTTGAATTTTAGATTGAAGATAATTGAAATTACAGCTTTTAATTTATCAAGTTTAAAAGTCTGGGGGGGAGGGGGGTCATTTGTCAATGACGTCTAATATTGAGGTTAGTGGAGAGTGAGCCAAATTCAGTAATTTTCCATTCCAATAATCCAAAACATTTCATTCTAATAAATTTCCCAAACATCAGCAACTATTCTGTACACTGTGCACAACAATTCAAACAACTCCTGTTTAGTGAGCACATATTTGCGTGTTTAAAAAGTCAACAACAAACGACATTGAATGTTTTGTATTTGAATTATAATTTGTGTTGATAAAAAAAACAGCGAGTCTACCGATGCAACCCAAATTGTGATAATAATTTAAATGTCAACAATAAATTGTTGGCAAATCATTTGTGCAAATTTTAACAAGAATCAGCATTTTAATTTGTATGTCTAGTATTGTATGTAATTTGTAAGCTGGTAGTTAATTTTGAAACTAATTTGAACTGTTTAAGGCAGTGATGGACAACCCATGTGCCGCGAAAAAATTCTTAAAATTCCACGAACTGTATGCTGTGGACGGTTTACCATAAAGGTGTGCCGTGACATAAAAAAGGTTGACCACCACTGGTTTAAGGTTTTAAGATGAGTCCCTAGGAACTAGATGGCGATGAAACGGGGTATAAGGGGGTCTAGCTATGTAACTGGCTAATGATGATCTTTGTTATGTCAATAATCAACGCCATCCAATCAATCACATCCAATTCAGTCATTAGAGTCTATCATTAAAATTCTATAATGAACAATAGAACTTAATGAGATCATTCGTTAAAAGATCAAAGATAATTTCTTTATTGCGTAATTTTAATTGTCATAAAGCCTATAAAAGTGCAGCATTTCCGCACTATCAATTCATTTTTCAGCTAAAGTCAGCATTTGTAATCTCAATACTGTTGTGATACCTTCATTAAAATGAGAAAAATTTGGTGCTTCATATTATTATCATTACTTTATGGGATGCAACTTACAGCATCAACAGACAATGATTCATCTAATGAAATTGACTATATAGACTCAACCGATGTGACGAATTCAACTGATAAAAGTTTAAAGTGTGTTGGTTGGGGAACAGGAGGTATACCAAGTGTCCCAAGTGCAGACATACCAACGGAACCACTGCAAGCTAATCCAAATATGCCAAGTAAACTTAGACAGAGAAATTCGCGACAAAGAAGTAATGCATATAGAAGAGCTACTGTAGCACCGAAGACATCAACTGGATCGAGTCCGACGAATTCTGTTCCTGCAACTTAAGTATCATTTCAGCTTTAGGAACATTTGACCGGATTCCAGTAGAACTAAGCTATTTTGAGCACTATTTTTCAAAATAAAAAATTAAATTTTGGATAGGGTTCCGTTCACTTATGACGTCCAGGAGGGGGGGGGGAGGGGTCAGCAAGAAAAGAACAATAGATAGAAATTCCTGGAAATCCATTGTTCTTTTTTGAAAGATGACCGTTAGCTTAGGACGTCATAAGTGAACGATCCCATAAACCTATTCAATAAAGTCTAGATCAGTGGATCTTAACTGGTCAGTCAGCACATATTTAAATGCTATCTACACGAAAACTACTCAGACAGTACACTTAATGTGTGCTGATCAGGAAAGAATCACTGCTCTTGATTAAAATAAATAACGCAGTTTTTAAATGCCTTTAATAAAGTTTAATAGGTCACGACCGTCCATAGTTTGCAGCTGTACCAAATTAGAACATGATGGTTCCCAAGTGATGTTTTGTCTGCATCTTTGTCCACGTCTGAAAAGATGCATCTTAGTCACACTACCGAACTTCATTGGATATACATGGCATAGCTTCAAGTATCTACAATCTGAAGCATGAATCACATTTTTATTACAGACAATAACAATCAACAGACAAAAATCCAAATAAATAACAAAAGAAATTTACAAGAGTACAGAATTAATCAGAAAAGAAATATTAATGCAGATGGAGACTAGTCATGCGTCACGAAAATGTCAAGCAAATATTCTTATCAAACTTCACACAATAATTATCAAATTATTCTATTATTCACACACTTAATCTTTATATTTAAAATGATGAGATTAATGCCAAGTAAGTTTAGTTTGAAGAGAAATTTTAGTCCGAGAAGTCCTCAAGAGCATTAAAGAATTATTAAAAAAAAATAAGAAAAATTCCAGAAAAATGAAATTCGCATTGGCTTTCCTATTGTTAGTCACATTCTGTGCCTTAACATATGCAAAAGCTGTCAGCAGTGAAAGCAACAGTGTAAGTTCAGAATCCAATGAAACCCGTGCTAAGAGAAGTTTAAAATCATCAGAAGAGAGCCTTAGTCAAAGCTCAGAATCCAATGAAACCCGTGCAAAAAGAAGCATCAAATCATCAGAAGAGAGCCTTAGTCAAAGCTCAGAATCTAATGAACAACGAGTTAGAAGAAGTGCTTCGAAGGAATCAAATGGAAAGAAACGTAAGGATCATGGAAAGAAACAAAATAAGAACAGCTCTGAGTCAGATGAATCACACGAGTCACATGAGTCACACGAATCAAATGAATCCGATGAAAGAAGACATCCAGCAAAACCAGCTTCCACATCAACAACAACAATAGTTGAGACATCACCATCAGAACCAGAAGTGACTACAGCAGCATCTGAAATTCCACCAACTGTATCAGAAGATGTTACAACAGAGCCTCCTCAAGTCGAAGAAACTACACTAGCTTGAGCAATTGATTTTGGCTAACGGTTTTTTGAAATTTAAATTTTTTTTCAGCTTTCAAATATTTTTAATACGTTATGAAAAATGTAAATACAAAAAATTAATCTTCTTTTGCATTCCAAAATCAGCTGTTTCTCTTAGTTCCATGACTTGCATAAGCTATGAATTTTATAAATTATTAATCTACAAATTGAACTTACATGTATGTTGACATAATTCTCAAATTCAAGCTCAGTGCAGCTTTAAACTTTATTGAAAAATGTCACTTACTAAAGCTCGTAGCTTTTTGTACGATTTTCTAGGCCAAAGTGGCATCCACGGATTTGCGTATATCGGAAATTCATTTTTGCATATTATTGAACGAATATTGTGGCTGGGATTAATTGTTGCTGCATTATATTTTTGTGCTGAATTATCGCTTGAATCATGGTTGCGATACTTACATCACAGTACAGTCGTATCCATTGAACGTGACCATTACTATTGGAATACGTCGTTGCCAGCATTAACTATATGTCCAATGACGAGACTCAGCGTGGAGAAATTTGATGCTTACACAATGTAAGATAAATTGTGGAATAAGTTGAAGTGGTTGTGGGTTGCGAGAAGGTCTGAATGCATTTTTGATGATCCAGTGGATTTTAATAAAAAATCCGTTAAATTATTTTTTTAATTTCCTTATAAATTTCTCATCAAAAATTTAAATAATTTTCGACCGTTAATAATTTATCGCTAAATTAATGTCTTTATTTCCAGGAAAAAAGGCATCACAGGCGATGAAAAGCAAGATTTCTTCAACTTTATGGAGTCACTCGCCAACTCAACCTACATAAATTTTGATCAAATCAAAAATTCCTCGAAATCCGACGCAGTTTTAAAGCGACTCAAAATAAATCCTCCAGACTACTTAAGGCTAATTTATGACCTAACCGAAGACCTTACGAGAAAGGATGGGAATGTAGAGCATAAAGTCAGGAATGTCAATAATAGAGAATTCATAAAGACAACTCAAGTACTGACTGAATATGGCATTTGTTATGCCTCAAATAATTATCTCGCAATAAACCTATCAACCTCAATGCTACTCCAAAATAAAGCACCGCTCGTTGACTCATTCTACAGAAAAGTGAAACTTCATGAAGTAAGATATGGAAATTTATTTGATGGTGAAGTCACGTACAGTTTCATTGGCTTTAAGGATGCAATAACAATTTTCATGCACAGTCCATACGAGACAATGAATGTTGCAAGACCAATTGGATATACTAAAGATGCTTATGAGTTTGAGACATTGTCAATTGAGATAATTACGTCAAAGGAGATTCAGGATACATTTGTATCTCAACGTGGTTGTCGATTTGATTGGGAATCTGATTTAAAGCACTTTAGTGTTTATTCTAAGAATCTTTGCATGTCTGAATGTCGATTGGAGCTTGCGTTTAAGCGATGTGGTTGCATTCCACACTTTTATCCAAACGAAGGTTTGTCATTTAATTATTTATGATCGACATGGATATCTAGTGCATTTTCATGTACTCTTAAAGATTGGTTTGGTTCCGTCCTTAATTTAATGCATAACTCTATCTATTTATTTTCAGTCGGTAAGACAATTTGCCACTACCAAAAGCTAATGACATGCTTCCCACGATACCAAGAATTATTCCTGGAATTCCAAGAAGAAGGAGTTAAAGCAGCAGACTGTGATTGCCTTCAAAACTGCATCGATGCAAACATCATTGTCGAAAAATTTCAAGTTTTAAAAGGCACAAAATCATTACTCGGAAGCATTGGCGGTTTGGTGATTATGAAGAAGTATCCACAGATAAGATTTCAACGTGAGGTCATTTTTACACTGACAGACTTTTTCGTATCGATTGGTGGCACAGCGGGATTCTTTATTGGATTAAGTGTGCTCGGTGTCATCGAGATAATTTACTTTTTCTCACTTCGTCTGTTTTGGTTTATTTTTGGCAATAGAAATTAACTTGACATTACAGAATATTTATTTATGGCACACTCGCATACTCTGCCTGAATGACCTAATGTCATCATCGTCAATTCTCGTCTTACCAGAACACAATTTTCAACTGAACACATAAAAAAATGAATTTCACTTCAAATGCACGCAAATTAGGACAGCAGACATAAGTGAACACAAAAGTCCATTTCACGCGTCGTATTCTTATGTATATGTCTGACTATATATGTAATGAGTTTAAATGGATGAAAAAGAACACTAAAAGATTTGCAATAAACATCATCACAAATACAAAATGTTTTTTTTTTTTTTTGGTGGAAAAAAGAATGAAGCGATGAAGATGAGGTTAAAGGAAGTAAGAGGAACCGAAGATATGACGCATCGTTATTAAATAAAACCTTTTCATAAGCTGCATATACCATAGTGAGCTAAAGGGGCTCGATGGCAGAATGGTTTAGTACTTCGGTACCTAATTATTGCAATACCGACACAACGATCATAGGTTCGAGACTGGGTATGGGAATTTTTTAACTTACCCTTTTTGAATCATATGTACTGGAAATGAGGCTCACAACACTTCTTTGTAGGCTATACACAGAAATGTCAAGAGTAGTTGTTCGGATTCTACTATAAATTGTAGGTCTAGGTTTGAGTTTGCAGTGGTTTGGCGCATCCTCACTCGTTAAACTTCCATTAGCTGAGAAATGCCCTAGCGCACCTCTGGATCACAATTGATTTTTATAGGTAAAGGTTTCATTAGGATTTGAACCTTTGCCAAATATTTTTTTAAAATTATTATTTTTTTCTTTCAAATTTTCTTAATATGATTTTCGACAAAATACAGTTATTAATCTTTAGTCAAACTGACTCCACAAGCCATCATTTGTTAAGCTCTAAAACTTCTTGTACAAATTCTTACAACAAAAATAATAAAAACCCAAAAGCACAAAAAAACATTCAAATTGACGCAATGAACATAAGTGAAGTAAAAAAGTGAAAATTAAGACAAGAGATTAAGGAACAATAAAAAAAGGAACGAACACAACAAGAAGTTATTTTTGCAGCTCATCTCGTACAGCAATAATAATAAAAAGGCCACAAAGGAATTATTTGGATGAAAATTATGGTTTTTGTGTGCATTAAAAAAGAATTTTTTACAAAACCACATGCAAGCACGATTATCGAAAATGTTGAGATGTTTCCGTCCTTCTCCTGCTCGACAGTCCAAGAAAGAATTACCGAAAAAAGTATGTATTTGAGAGTGTAAAAGAACATCAAGCTTGTAATGAATGGAACATAAATTTCGATCGATAAAGAGGACAGGAAAGAATCAATGAAAGTTGTTGGGGGTCGTTCATAAGTGACGTTTGTCAAGTAATGGGATGTTTTCTCTACTCTGTATTGTCTTTAAGGTCCTGGGCTGGAATAGAGCACCAGTAACTTCGTTAAACTAGTCAAACTAGTCAATAGCCTTCAGATAACACTTACTAGTAGCTACAACTTTAGAATAATTTATATCAAATTACCAGACGTAACTTATGTTCAACCCCCTCTTAAGGAAAGAATGTAAACATCCAGCAGAAAAGAATTTTTTAGAAAGTTTTTTTCAAAGAATATTGTTTATTACATTTTTTAATGATATGTTAAAGACTTGAGCAGAAAAACGATAATTAAATGAAACTGGCAATAAAAGTGACGTTGAGCAGTCATAATTTTTTGGAGTTTTGACTTTATATTCTGAGATAGTTTTTGGCGATAACTTTTGACTGCCAATTTAATCATATTTTATAGGTTGGCAATCAATTTTTTTATGAGTTTTAAAACTTGCGAAATTTTGTACTTTTTCTAGCGAATTTGGGACGCAAAATTGCAAAATGAATGATCAGATGAATTTAAAGCATTGAAAGTTTGTTCCGTTTCATTTGTGATTTATAGAGCTATAAGAATTATGAGTTGATGTTGGTTTTCGGAGATCATAGTTGTAGATCTCCCTATAACTAGGGTGACCATCTGCGTAGTTTTTCAACGGACAGTCCCGTATTTTTCAAGACTGTCCTGTATAAATTTTTAAATTTTGTTCTTGGTCCTGTATTTTTTTCATGAAAATTTCCGTTAATTTTCGAATTTTACTCTATGTCCTGTTTTTTTCGAAAAAATTTACCAAATGTCCTGCATTTTCATGAAAATTAGATGGTAACCCTACCTATAACTGCCATATGTAATATACAAGTGGGGTTTTGATGGGAACCGAACCCTCGACCTCAAAATAGGGAATCTCTGACCACTCGATTAGAGATCCCTGCCTTTCGGCTATCGAGATACTTATCTCACTTCAGCTATCAGTCATACACATATAACCAGTTCAACACGAGCCCTATGCTCAGGTCAATCTACTACAGATATTCTCTTGGAGCCATATCCACAATAGTTCAACTAGCTACCATTAAAACTAGTAGGAACAGGATTAGTTGCAGTTAAGCAGTTAAGTGCCTTGCTGGTCGAATAGGTAAGGCGCTTGGCTCAAATTTGGAATGGTAACTCGGTTCGAATCCAGCCATTTCCAAATTTGTTCTTTTTCAGAAGTTTAGATACTTCGACTGCTTAATGTACGAGATCAAGCCATAATTGGGCATTTTGGGCAACGTTGGATTAAGGAACGGATCAGGAACTTGAAGTGTAGTGGGAGAAATAGGAACGAGAGCTACAAGATTACCTTATAATGGAATATTGTCAGAACGGACCTGAAATGTATCAAGTCACGCCCACAGAAGATTGAAACTAGAGCCTGAATTTAATCGAAACCTAGATTTGAAGATTAGAAGCTTGATTCTACGTCACCCATAGTGATATGAAATGTATCACTAATCAATGTAAAAAGTAAAACATGTATAAATACTAATTCTTCCGGACGGTAACGTCGACAAATAAATAATAATAATATGATGATTATGATATGATAGTTCTTTGTTACAACAGAAGTTTAGGACCGTGGATCTATAAAAAATATCTGGCTATGCCTCTGTCTCACATTTTCTGAGAAACTGCTCTACAATTCATAAATTCAACATCATCTACCCATTTTTTATACAACTAAACGTTTATAAATATTGTAAAAAATGATATCAACCCAAAATAATACCTCAGACAGTTTTTCGAATTTATTTTTACAGCAACAAACATTTTTTTTGTATTTCAACACGTTTAAAGACACTTGCAGCTCATTTTTAAGTAAATAATATCTTATTATATCAGTTTGTGGAAGCACGAATTAATTTCATAATCGAAATGTCTCATCTTAGTATTAATTTAATGTTCAGAGTGATAAGATGATGAACAGCATTGAGGTGAGGAACGCAAAAATTTGTTATGGGAAGGGCGAAAGCAGAAAAAGTATTTTGAATGGATTGAACATGAATGTCAAGCCAGGTTCGATGTAAGTTGCAATTATATTATATTTTTAATATGAAATTTTAATCATAATTTAAATCCACAGCTACAGTTTAATTGGAGCTTCTGGTTGTGGTAAGACGACACTCTTGTCATGTATACTTGGCATGAAACAGCTCGAATGTGGCAGTATACGTGTCTTGGGTCATACAGTAAAATTTGAGAGGCCACCAAAAGTCGCTCATTTAATTGGATACATGCCACAAAATACAGCATTAATTCCAGAATTAACGATCCGTGAGACTTTATACTATTTTGGAAACATTTTTCAAATGAAGGAAAAAGTTCTTAAGCAGCGCTATGAAATGATAAAAGATTTGTTGGAACTGCCATTTGAAAATCGTAGAATCGAGCATCTCTCTGGTGGTCAAAAGAGACGAGTCTCAATTGCTGCCTCAATTATTCACAATCCATTAATTTTAATCCTCGATGAGCCGACCGTTGGACTTGATTCATTGTTGCGCGAAAAGATTTGGAATTTTCTGATGAACGCTACAAGAACCAGTAAGCTGTCAGTCATCATTACAACGCATTATATATCCGAAGCAGAACAGGCTAATAGATGTGGATTGATGAGAGATGGAGTCTTGCTAGCTGAAGATTCTCCTAAAAATATTATGACACGATTTGAAGCTACAAATTTAGATGAAGCATTCTTGAACTTGTGTCTGCTGAAAAAATCAATTCCTGAAACTCAAACTCTAGATTCCGATTGTTTATGTTTAAGTGTTGACAATAATGATGAAATTGTAGTTACTGATGGAACCGTCGAGTCTTTTGAGAAACGTAAAAAATTCAGTTCACAAACTGTTGGAGCAATACTGACAAAGGAGTTCATTCGTTTAAGGCGACAAGCTGCGTAAATATAATTTTTATTTATTTTTAATCATTCTCATTTGATGAATTTAATCAGCTAAAAGTCAAAAAAGTCTGTTGACGGAACCTTAGAAACCAAGGTCAGGGCCGCTATCAAAAATTCTTTGAGTACGGAAAATCACTTTTTTTCTTGATCCTTGGGCTGGTTCTAAGGCTCTTGAACAGCACAAATGCTAATAATCCAACAGTGCGCTGATGTGGTTCAAATTTGACATACATGCTGGATTTTTTTTCCATGTCAGCTCAATATAACTTAATTCCACACTTTTCTTTAATTTCAGGGAAGTTTTCTTCATTTTAATACTTCCAGTTTTACAAACGCTGGCATTTGTCTATGGAATTGGAAGTTATCCAACTGGCCAGAAAATAGGCATTATTAATCATGAGATATCGGACTTTACAAGCTGCTCTCCAGCCTTATTACAAAACGCATCGTACTTGAATTTAAATGATACATGTGTCTACAATGATAAAGCTTCATGCCATCTGCTGAACGAAATACATGATAAAGACATCAAGAAATTGTTTTATGGCTCATACGAGGATGCCTTAAAGGACGCAAAAAGAGGGAAACTGACTGGAATTCTTGAATTTTCTGAAAATTTTACAGATGTAATAATGAATCCACGTGATGACGAGACATCAACTGTAAGGGAAGGAATAGCAATTCATTTGGATCAGTCTCAATTCCAAACGACTACATTCGTGCAGTATCGCTTGCTTAATGCTTATCAAAAGTTTAACAAGAAACTACATAAAGGATGCAATGAAAATGAGAAAGTTGGGGAACTTCCGATGAATTTTAATGAATCTATGTTTGGGACATTAGATGATGATTTTAAGAAGACAATGTTTGCGCCTTTGATGATGCAGTTTAGTATTTTTTTTCCAACATTTAAAGTCTATACTTAATAACTTATCTTATTTCAGGGCTTTGATATTCCCAGCTATGGGATTCTCATGCTTCAGTATAGCACAGAGCCGAATTGATGGAGTTTGGAATCGAACACTTCTTGCTGGAGTTAAATCTGCAGAAATTCTTATCACTCAACTTCTGTTGTCAATTATTGTAGTGACAATATCATTCATAGAAATAGTTGGTGTGGTACTTCTTACACTTGACGTTGTCGTGCTTGGAAATTTATTTTTATTAATTTTCTTCGGAATTTTATTGTGTCTTACTGGCTCAATATTCGGAATTGCTGTATCAGCCACGAGTGATGATATCAAAATTTTGACAATTATACTTTTTGCTGTAATTCAGTTTTTCTCGACCATAAATGGAGCATTTTGGTGAGTTAAATGATGTCAAAGTTTTAGGGTGGACTCATTTTTCAATTGACGTCATTTATGAATAAACCCTAATTTATAATTAGGTTTCTGATTGAATTTTTTAAATTTCTAGGCCAATTGAAGGACAGCCACTTCTCTTACGATACATGTCGTATGGTTCACCAACTACACTTCCATCAATATCAGCGAGAAACATCATGATGAGAGGATTTGGTATAACGGAGCCATCAGTCTACATAGGAATAATCATTTTACTTACATGGATGGTTGTATCCACTTTATTTGCGCTTTATGTCATGAAGAAACGAAAATTCTCAGACACATTAAAATAATCATCATTCGACCTCCCTGGCTACACTCCTATTTTACACAGCATAAGTCAAACTCATACCAAAACATTCGACTATGTTTAGTTTCCATGGATTTTATTAATGCTTAAATTCTATTTATTTACATTCAAAGACTTTATGTCTCTATGCAGTGCATAAATATTTAGTCAATAAATTCTGTTGTATGTAGACAGTGAAAAAATTTCCGGCTTGCATTTAATACGTAAACTAATTATCTGCTAATTTATTAAGCAAATCTTCATACTTAATTTAATTTGAGTTGTCGTGTGCTGTTTATTTAAGTTCATTCCATAAAATTAATTACAAAAAAAAATGACATCTGTTGAGCACGTTTCATCCTCATCAACCGATTCCTTAACGCCACCACCAATGTTTCCGGCTCGTGCACGTCGTCTATCATCAATAAAATCCGACTTGATAAAATTTGAAGTCGAATGCCTCAAATTTATACTCAAAGAGACTGTTGATAAATTAATTATCGCAAATGGAGGCGAGAAAGCGACTCTCATTCATCCATCGGATACAAAATTACCGATGAAAATTCGCTATCGTGAATCTCGAGAAAAAATGTTCCACGAAGAGACTTTGGAGCCAATAAATGAAGCTATGGAAAGAATGGTCTTTGTTAAGCTTGGCAACGATGTGAGTCGATTGAGAAAAATTTTATCTGACACAATTGACGACTTGGTCAATACGAATGACTTCAAGGGACTGAAAATTTTAATCGACACTGAAATCCGATTAGAGGCTGAGGAGAAGAACTTGATTGAACAGAATGCAAAGTGTGAAAGACTTTATCGATTTTTGGAGAAGAAGTTTGATGAAGATACGAAAATGTATAAAAGCAAAGTCAAGGAAATTGATGACAGAATTGCAGAAGTCGAAGCGGAGCTGAATGTAAGTTTTATTTATTTTTGTTGTTTTGTAGTCATGGCAGAGGTGTAGCTAGGTAGGAAGTGTGATATCGACAATTTGGATATTGAATCCAGTCCCCAAGCAACACTGAGATTTTCAGTGAGAATCGAACTCACATCGTCTGCAAATACAAAGATTCACTTGTAGACGCTGCCTCAGCTTTTAGATCCTTTAATCTCGAACTGGCAAATTTTCCTTCATTTTCTTCGATGCCTCAACTCTACTGAAATACCACAGAAGTTCTATTATCTCACGTCTTATGTCATTACAGGATCTGAAAGTCGAAAACAAAATTAAGATGAAGTTACTGAGCGATTGGGAAAAGACACGTCATGGACAAATTAAATTTATCACGGAAAATAAAGAGAAGCAGCTTTTGGTTACAGCTGAGAATTTCAAGAAAGACGCTTATCGCGAAATACGTCTTAAGCATGAAATTGAGTGTAAGTTAATTGACTTTAATCCTTATTGCCGACTTCTTTCTGTTACCTAATATGAAAATGAATAAATTTTAGCATACCTTGAGAATCAGACGACATACTATGAAGACCTCACACGTCAGTGGATCGAGAAATATGAGAAGGAAGTGAAGCAATTGGATGAGCAAATAAATGAGACGAAAGACTTGATGATCTCATTAAGAATAAAGTATGATGATATGGTGGAGCAGTTCAACATGCGTGAAGAAGAAATTCAAGATTATTTGGAAGAAAAGAAGATGAAACAGGATGCTGCGGAAAAGGCTGAAAGAGAATATCAAGCGATTGTCAAGATTCAATCGTGGTGGAAGGGAATAATGGTCAGACGAGGATTAGGACCTTACAGACGTAAGAAGGTAAAGGGCGCAAAAAAATCCAAAAAGGCACCAAAGAAGAAGTAAACTTACTCTCAATAAACTGAGCAAATTACTCTCTTACACAAAATAAAGTCTGGATCTTCTCAGTTCCTTTACTTTCAGAAGTTTAAGTAGATGTTTTTTTTTGTCCAACGCACATTGTTGTTTATTTTTTGCATGCATGTCTCGTGTCTTCACGATTCTCTCCTTCATATCAAAATCATGTGTGCTTATTGTAGCAATAGACAAAAGACCGCTTATAAAAAGACATAAGAAGTCAATTAACAATGTTTTAGTCACGATAAATCGTGATTGTACATTATCGACAAGCATTAAAGAATGAAAAAAAAGTGTCAAATGCAGGCATAATGGATTATTGACATGCACTTTACTTACTTGTCGCTGGCTATTCGTCTATCTCTCTATTGTCGCATACTAAGTTTGTCTGGAATGAAATAATGAAGTGATTAGAGAAAGACCTGGCACTGATTGTCATTTCTGTGAAATTTTCTCAAATCATTTATCTTGCGGTAATTAAACATGATTTTCATTATTTGCATGGTTGAATGAAGTGACAACTGTTTGAGTTGTGAATGGTACACAGAAGTAGATTTGAATTAATTTTTCCAAGTTTATCGCATTTCTTTTGTAACGGTTTTTTGTTATTTGAATATTTTTTAACAATAATTTTTGCATGATTAATCAATAATCATGAATAATCCAGTATTCATCTTGATATTGAATCTACAGAACATTAGAGGATATAGCAAAAGATTGCATAGATCCTAATTGCTATCAAAATGTTCAATTTCATTGAATTTTAAAAGACCTTTTCACGTTTCATCTCAAAGCTAACCTAAAAACCTCACAAAGACAACGATTAGCAATAACAAAACTTTACATCAATTGACTAATCCTTATCTGACTTCCATCTTTTCCAATCGACTTTTAAATTAAAAAAAAACTTTTTTCACCTTCTCCGTATCATCATGCAATAATTTATCATTTTCTCATGTGAGTGATTTATGATATGATGGAAATAAACGAGATAAAGGAGGTGTGAAAAATTTCCATATAAATATTATAGCGCCATGTGATTAACTCAACCAATAATATCTGATACCGTTTATTTTTGCAACAAAAACAACATTCTTATGGCACTTCCACAATATTCCATTTCTTGTACTCTATTTAAATTGTATGTCTGTGAGAAAGGCGCAAAAAACAGATAGTTTTTCTTATCCATTCTCTTATGCTTGCCTTCTTTTTTTATCTGATCTTGATATCGCCGTAAGTCATTGGTAAATAACGTCTGCCAGACTCTGATTCAAATTCATTTAACATGACTGCCATTTAATATTCCTTCATTGCATTGTTCAAGGAGTGAAAATGGGTTTTGAATTGTCGGATATTGTTGCAGCCTTTTGTTTAAATTGTTTTCAATTTTTCGAGCATTATTAATCATCTTATTGGATTTCGTTTTTTAAAAGTTTATTTGCTCTTTCCTGAAGAATGAGAATATTCAAATAGATTGCTGAATTAATGAATAGAGGCTTTAAATTTGATGATTGAAAATTCCAAGTGAGAGAGTCCGAGGAAAAATAAAACTTTTGATCCAATGTCAATGATGAATTTTTCCAGGAAACCTTAAATCATCTAAAATCACACCTTGCAATAATTATTCTCTCTCCCATTTTATTCTGATTGTTCGCGACTTACTAAGTACGTTATCAATTGCAATTTTCATAATGTGAATACCTTTATTTCACTAGCCGATGGCGAAACTTTCATTTCAATTCATTCATCTTTCACTCTTTTATTTTTGTTGCGCGCATAAAGGAATAAATAAACAAAGCAATTTAAATTCATTTGCAGTTCAGGTCGATTAGAATGAATTGGCTATTTGCATTATCGAGAGATAGCTCATTCGCATACATGAATGAGAGAGAAAAATAAATTTAAATGCCAATTGTGAAGATTAATGACTGCGAATTTGATCTCTTTTAACATTTAGAAATAGTTTTTGCAGTTGAAAAAATAGAAATTAGAAAAAAATCATCTTTCTGGGATGAATTGTGTCAGGTGTGCATTCCTGTGTGTAAGTTTATGACTAGTGCTAGTTGAGTAATGTTATTTATTAAATTGAACTTAGTAAGTAAGTGTCCTAAAAACGCACCTAGTATGAGCTCAATTTATATCATTCCAACTGCACTGATAGCTGACCAAGAGCTTTTATAAACTCAATAATTGAACAGTAAATCAAATTATTTAATATCTTTAAGTTTGACGTCAGTAGCTCATTCATTCCTGCACATTTCTACATAAAATTAATGTAACTAATTTTTCAGCAATATTTCAAAAATTCTGAACAGAAAAAAGAGAAAGATTCATTCACTTGATGTGTAAATCATCAGCAACATTGAGTGGATGAGATGAAAATAGAAGAAAAAAAAATTATTTTTAAATTGACTTGAAATTCAAATTTAGCTTCAGTCTTTTTTTCGACTCTTTTCCTTTAATTTAAAATAAATCAGATGATCAGACTAATCTCTTCTACTTTTTATTCACTCATCAGTTTAGTCAGTAAGCTGAAAGACGGGCAAGAAATTTGATATCAAACTTAATGAATGAGTTTTAGTCGGTTTTGAGAATTTGTTGTCAGATTTTCACAGATTCGTGAAGGGCAAGTGACTTAAGTTGATGTGGCTATTAGGAAACTAATTAATCATGTGATATCAATGTTCAAGTCACTGACTGTAAAAACAACAGATTCCACTAAAATTACTCAAGTCATTTTTAGTCTAAACATCAAATTATTTATTGAGCTTCACTTCCAATACAGATAAAATAAATATTTAGCATAGCCAGTTACACAATATTTCGTAACATCCCATCCAAACTTCTCATAAATTAAAAAAAAAAATTCTACGGCGAAAATTCATCAAATTCATTCATATCCAAAACTCCTTCAGTCTTATAAAATGGAGCATCTACAGCACCTTCAGAATCTGTTCTTTTACTGTCTGCTGGATGGAAGTCATCTTCAATTTCCTTAATCTGCTCCCCTAGTTCAATATCCATGTTAATTTCTTTAGGACTTTTTAAATTATTAATGATGTGCATTGGCTTGATAAGCTCACTTGTCTTGCTGGAACCGTCGTTAAGTCTGAAACTTTTATCAAGGAACGAATTGTCAACATGATGATTGTAAGCATGTTCCACAACTTTCTTATAATCCACAAATTTCTCATCCCGATGGTCTTTAAACTGATTGACGAAATGCTGCGATAGTTCCTGGATTCTCTTATCTTTTGTATGTCTCTTCTTTTTAGCTCCGGAATCAAACTCGAAATACTTTTTGGCACCAACATTTGTGTTGTTGTCAGACTCATCTAAATTCTCATTTCCAGACTTTGTCAGGTTCTCAAAAGCCAGCATGAAATATTTATCGACATTAAATTTGAATTCTTTTGGCTTCTCGTTGAGCTGATCAAGGAACTTCATTAAATCTTCTTGCTGCTGGATTGATATCTTTTGGACCAATTTATTGACTTCATCTATCGATTCCTCACGTCCATCTGGTGTTGACTGCTCGAGGCTTAATGCAACATTTGGAACTTCATACTGAAAGTCACTGACTGAATTTATGATTCCTTTAAAAAGTCCATTTCTTTTGTCTTTTTTGGTGTCTTTTTCAGCTTCTCTTTTCAGAATTGGTAGTTCCGGGACATTCTCATATTCCTCAGTTGTTGTTTTCGGAGCCGTTGTTGACACTTCTTCAACCTCAAAATTAATCCACATTGAACTTTTCGCATTGTCGATGATTTCTTGTGTCTTTTTCAGGTCTGGTTTCTTAAATTTTGGCTTTCCTATTTCTTCGACTGTATGTTTGCTACTTGCTAGGTATCTTAAGTATGCCTGAGTTCTTGTGGTGTCATTTTCGTCTTCTTCCTTTTCTGGACATGCTGTTGTGGATGCAAAATCGTAGTTATTGAGGTCGGGTGGGTCTGCTTGAACTGAAATGACAAAAGTAAGTGATTAGTGGAAGTGAATTCATTATCATGTCACAAAAAGTAACTTTAGGGATCAATCAACAAAATGCGCTTTCATTCTAGCTTCAAAAAATTTCCTTACTTATGTCACTTGCATTAAAAACTTTTCCACCATGAAGACTCAAACATTTGAAAAATTTCATAAGAAGTTGCTTAACCTCCTCATCATTTGACAGTTTCATATCGACTTTCTCACAGTTCCGACCTACAGTTTTGGAAAGACATCGCTTGATCTTCGTCACTTCTTTATTTTTAGAATCTTTCTTGATGTGAAAGAATTTTTGAATCTTTTCCTTAATTTCGGTCAAATAGTTTGAAGTTGATGATGTATTTGCAGCAGTTTCATTCTGATGTAGATTGTCAGTTCCATTATTATGCAGAAATGTAGACACACTTCCTTTATACCTTCCATCATCTGATGTTGAATTTGTTTCATTTTTACAAGATTTTAGCAGACCATCAACTTTTATTTTCACATCATTTATTTGAGACTGAAGACTTTTCAAACGATCGTCGTAAATGTAGGATGATGATGAGCTTATTGCTGTGTTAATTATGATTAAAAGAATCAAAAATTTCATTTTCTTAATTTTTGATGAAAAATTTTCATTTTTTGAAATAGAAAAAAAAAGTTCTTTGATGGGTGCTGTGATTTTTTTTGCGTTAAATATTGAATTTGGTAATTTGCCAATGAGAATTTTGTGGCAATTGAATCTTAATTGATATGAGATCTGGGTCTGTAATTGTGGAAATGATGATGATGGGGTCTGACTGATCGCAGATGACTTTTCATGTTTTCTTTGAATTTTATTAGTTTTTAAATCAAAAGCAGGTGATGTTGGACTTTTCTGGAACCAAAAACATCCCTTAGAAACCAAGAAGAAGGTCTACGCTCTGTGTATCATCACAACAGATCCCGTTAAAATCTCATACCAGGGTTGCGATACAGGCACCTGTGCACAAGTGAGAAGCATTCAATTTCTTGAGAATTTGTAAGGTTTTCTATCAAAACCATACAAATTTTAATAAAAACCTCACAAATTATCAAGCAATTGTACGGTTCTCACCTGTGCACAGGTGCCTGTATTACAACCCTGTCTTATACTCATCGCCATCTGCCAAACGACCTTGAAAGTCATCAAAATTCTCCTCACATCCATTTTATGTTCATGTCAATCAAAGCCCACAGAGAACCAAACATACAGAAATAATAAAAAGTTTTTTTTAATCACAAAAAATGTTAATTGAATCACGTCAAAACATGCCAAAAGAGTGTATAATAATCAATAATCACATGACAACATATAGCACTGCCGACAAACATAATAACAACGAATTAATAATGCACACAATGAATTTTAAAAAAAAAAACAACACGAATTGTATTGCAATAAAGACAGTACTCCATGCGATGCGTGATGGGGAAAAAAAAAGACAGAATGAACACGATGATAACTTCATCGTAGCCACTCATAATTAACAAGTTGTTTAAAATAATAAAAAAACTTTTTTCGCTATCGAATAGCAAGCACGTAATGTGTTTCACAAGTTCACTTTTCATTGAAAATTCATGAGCAGCTATTGCAGCATAAAATAGATTCATATCAGTTACAGTTTAAGCTTCAATATTTGAAAACAGATAATTTTTTACTGCTTGCACATTTCCTTTCCAGATGAGAGATAGTTTTCATCTCGACATTGATGTAAAGCTGTACACATGATGGAAATTTTAAAACTAAGCAGCTATGTGTCTGGTTGGTTTTGTTGCTGTGTGGAAAATTTCTTTCATCTTTTTTCGGAAGAATGGGATTTTTTTTAAATAATCGCATGCTGGATTATTGTTGAGATAGGGTTGATTTTGAAGGCTGTTGTTTGGTTCCAGATTATGGTGCCTTGGTTCTTTCGAACGGCTGTCTTCCCTTTTCTTACATTTTCTTTCAATGAAGCTCTTGAAAGATTTAACTTGGATCTTTTGATAGTGTTTAAAGATGAGAAGTAAAAGCCTAGATCATTCTGTATGTGAATGTTAATTTCATCTGGGGCAGTGCTGTCCGACCATTTTTATGTGCCAAGGCACACTTGGTGGTAATCGATGAACAAAACTGCACATAGCATACGTTTCGTGGGATATTACCAAATTTTTTCATGGCACACGAGTGTGCCACGACACACGGGTTGACCATCACTGATCTAAGGTGTTCTTTTCATTGCCGAGAGCAAACCACAAATTCTTATCATATCTGTGACAACTTAAGAATTGATTTCAAAATTTGTCACAAGTGGGATTCGAACTTACATCATACGAACAAAAGTATTCAACAGATAGCTTAGTCTTTTGCTGAACTAAGCCACAGAGGACTTATTCACATACTATAAACTTATCTTATTATACCTAAATATTCCAGAGCAATCAAGACTCATCAGATTTAACAACATCCAACCAAAAAGCATACACAAAAAATCCAAGAAAATGAACTCAAAACAATAATCGAACAAAATTATTTCCGAATAAATTAAAAATAAACTCGAAAGAACAAAAATAAGAGATGTTTGATGAAGGCAGCAATCGACATGATTATGCACAAATTGAACCTTCATTATGAAAATCAATTTTTTTCATTTTTCTCTCTTTCATTTTCGTCGAAAACAAAAACAAAGTGAACCTTCAGATTCGTGTAATGAAAGCAAAAAACATCGTGATACAATTTGTTGATTGCATCTACCTCACTCGCTCACTTGCTGGCTCGATTTCAAAACCGCATATGTATATATAATATGATCAATACGAGAACGATCGTATTAATATTTGCTGTAAAAAAAATCCTCAAACGCATAAATCAGATTTTTTTCTGCTCTTTTTGCTCTCGTCATACATCGAATATTAATATTACATATTACAATATGTATATAGATCGCAATCGAATGGAAGAAATGAGAGAAGTTGCTGACATTATCAATTTATATGCATGACTTTACATCAATAACATTGAAATTATTGAAAAAAAAATATATATGTAGATTTAGAGATTTTTTGATATCAACCTTTTGAACCTTTAAGAGTTTCCATTTTAGGGGGTCATACAGATGTGACGTCAAACTAGGTTTCTACCTAAATACTGATTCAAGATTCTAGGGGTCTGGTTTAGAAGGCTAATGATGATTTAAATTTAAATGAAAAAATTCAGTTCCACTTCAATAGGGGGAGGGGGGAGGGGGGGTCTTACTTACTTCCTTGCTTCGATGACCTTACAGATCAATTGTGATCCATGGCTTCCCTCAGATGCCGTCTAAAACTGGCTCTATCGCTGGCTACCGCTTGCCAATTTCCTATACCAAATGCAATCCTGTCTCTATCAACAGCTACTTTCAAAGAATTCTTTGGCCTTAAGGAGGGGTCCTAAACCCAAATAATTCATGACATCACTCATAAAATCATCACAATTCAAGTTCATTAAACCAAACGAATCTTTAACTTTATTTGAATATGATTGGCATTAGGTTTGATTTTATTATGCTTTAAGGGCTCGTTTTCATGTGATGAATTTTTGATTGATTAGTCATTAATAATTTATGCATATATGTAATTTCCATGATTGACTTAATTTTGTAAGTCCAATGGATGAAAATGTATAATGATGTGCATGGACAACATCAAGACTTTTCAACTTAAAGAGATGAAGCAAATCGATTAATATAGTTTAGACTTTTCAGTTGAATGATGATCGATGCATTGTTTGAAAGAATCAGTTTGATTGTTTTATGGATCGATGGATACTTTTTTCCCATGAATTGAGTTAGAGTTGACTGATTTGCGAAATTTGTAAGGTATGGATGTTGAGTCGTGAGTGATACTAGTAAGAATCAGGAATTTAAAATCTATTATGGGATATTTTGAGGTTATGTGCTTATGTTTTTGGTATTTCATTATTTTGTTATCAGCATATAGTCTGGTACCTAGAATAGTTTTTACCGATCCTCTTCATGTCACTTTCTTGTCTTAAAAACTTCAAGAGTCTAGACAAGTTTTTTTGATCACAAAAAATTATTCAAACCTAGGACCCCCTTTGTCAACTATCAAAAATCAATCAAAAATTAACCTCATTGCATCAAAAATTCACCTCTCACTACTCTTCATTCTACATCTTCATAATTCTACCGATCATTCCCAGAGAGAGACTTAGTTCCTCTCACACAAAACCTCACAAAAGAGAGCGACTTGTTGCTCAGTTTACTGACATTATCTTCTTACTCCTCATGACTGCAAGAAATGCGAAAATATCAAAGCATAACATATGAAGAAGTAAAATATTCACTCAGTCTACAGATTGTCTCGTTGTTGAAAGCAGCAACTCGACGCGCTTATAATTTGTCGTTCCCATAAAATCTGCATACAAAAAATGTAGCGTCAATTTTTTTTTCCATCCATTATTTCAATAAAATAAGCAAAAAAATAATAGAAATAAGTGAAATAAACAATATTTAAGTAACGACTTATCGTGAATGCATTTTATTGACCATATTACATTAAACATGATGACAGTTTAAAGGTGTTAACCTCAGCATTAACATTTATTATTATATCTTATTGATGCTTAATTTTATGTTATGAATATTATAATGATCTTCATTGTGGTGTGTCTTATGAGCTGGATGGAATTTCGTGTTGTGAATTAATTATGTTGTTGGCTGCTGAATAAGAGGCTCTAACGCTAGGATCTATATCATTACCTAGCCAAAGTCTTAAAAGAAATCAAAGCAATCTTTCAGATTTTTCTTTTAAACTCAAGTGTCGACAACTTCAACTTATAGTGTCCATAAACTCTCATTTTAAGTGATCAATAATAAAATAAATGAAGTGAAAAATGTGCAGTAAAGTGCCTTGCAATTCATAAACAACAATAGTAGCAAGAAACACCAAAATTAAAAGAAAAATCAATATTAAAGTATTAAAAATGATCGAACATCGATCAAAGATAAGAAGAGAGTCAAGTAAAGCTTGAGGTAAAAAAATCAGCATAAAGTAATATAAGCGTGTAAAAAGTGAATAAACATGATTGATATCGAACATTTGCATAATTGTGAATAATAAGTGAGCGACTAACGAGTTGAGAAAAAAAGAGATTTTTCGATAAGGAAAAAAAAAATCTTTAATTAAATTAATAATTGTAACGTTTAGCTACAGTAATAATATTATTAGCGATAGAGTTGTTGCATTACTTAAAAACAATTTAATTACAATATGGTTATCATCAATTAGCGATAAAAATCAAAATCATGGCTAAACAAGTTCTTTTATTACAATTTTTCTTCTTCTTCTTTATTTCCATTCCTTTAATGTTGTTGTGCTGATTGTTGAGTAAAATGAGTTTTGACTTGGTGATTCTTGACTGACTTGTTGCTCTTTAAGATTATTCTTTTTTTTCTATTTTGAAATATAGTTTAAAATTATCGAAAACCTATTTTGAACTTTTCGGAAACAAATTTTGAACTTTTCAAAAATCAATTTTGAACTTTCTGAAAATCAATTTTGAACTTTTCGAAAATCAATTTTGAACTTTTCAAAAATTAGTTTTAAATTTTTTCAAAAACTAGTTTAGAACTTTTCAAAAACTAGTTTTGAACTTTTCAAAAATCAATTTTGAACTTTTCCAAAATCATTTTTGAACTTTTCGAAAACCAATTTTAAACTTTCTGAAAATCAATTTTGAACTTCTTGAAAAGTAATTTTGAACTTTTCG